TGCTAGGTTATAGAATAACATAGAATTCATCTTAAAGTTAAAGTTAATGGTGTTTGTTGACTCCTGTGAAACTACAATATCACAGCTTGCAGCTAGATAATGATCAATATCCATAAAAGAGACATTATTCTATTAAGGCACACTGTGTCTCTCTCTGCCACATGCCACATAAGGTATTCTGACTATCAGAGCCGTGTTATTTCAGAGCATGTGTTGTTATGTCTTGCTGTTGTATTATAGTTTCAAGCTTTCCGATTGTCTGGAGGAAAGTGATTGTAATTCTTGAGGTGCAGAACGTCCTGAGGTCAGAATGTTGTCTGACTCTTGTCAAACCTTTAACCTGGCTATGATATCCTGCTGGTTCCTGTGAGACTCTCTCCACCTCTGTTTTCCCACAGTGCTTTGGTTCGAGGGAGTTTTCATTTTCTCTTGCTGAGACTCAGACTGGAGCCAGGACACAGCTTCTCATTGTCTGTCTTATTGCAGTTAGGATGGAAGAATGTCAGGAATTAAACTATGATTGTTGTGCACAGAAAAAATCTTGCAGCTTAATTAAGTTTTGCATTAAATAAAATAAAATAAAAATTAAGGAAGAGCTCATGGGCAATCAACACTTGTCTGGTCAATAATGTCATTGACCATGTTTTTCTGTGTAATGTCTTTTATGGAAATGATGAGATTTACAAAGAAAGCATGTGCAGTCTTTTTAAGCCTCATTTTGACTGTTGTGGCGAAAGCATCAGAGACGTTCATACAAGCAGTGTTGAAGGAGTTATTTTAAAAATGCAGTCAAGCAACTGTCCAATAGTTAAGCTACAACAACACCCCACCTTTGTAGAAGGTAAAAGCTACAATACAAGCAGCTCTGAAAAGGTATAACATACTGAAGCTATTTGGCATCCAGTAACATATCTTGTTAATATAATATCATGTTTGGTTTATGATTTAAGTTACCACAAACAACATAAAGAAATGGTCTGGATGCTGTGTTGAAGGTTAAAAGGTTTTTTGCACTANGGGTACCCAAACAGGAATACAGCATTTTCTTAACACTTAAATTTCTACAATTAATGCAGTTGGGCCCGGAACCTAGATGTCACGAAATGTGATCAATGGAAAAAGTCTGGACCTATAATAGCCTCTTCATTATCTCTATTATTATAATTTTTTTAATTGCAAGGCTGGGTTGGAGTGTGCTCATTTGCATCGTGTTGGAATCAGGTAATTTCCATAGAAATGGAAACTGATGTGGAGCTTTTGAAAGATTTGACCTAGCGGTAGCATGTGCATGTTAACAATAATGGATTGAGGACTCAACTCTGAGGGACTCCATCAGTGACACTGACCACTTTGAGAAAGCTGCGTCAGGTCTAGCTGCTAGATGTTAAAAAAAAAATGCAACTTTGTAAAGTGAAGAGTTTTGGAATCATTTTCAGCAGTGTAATGAAACAAAGTGTGATTTGATTCTATTTTGGTGTGTGTCAAACTTTTAAGAGCTTTAATTGTACATCACGTTCATCAATGTGACTCCCTGCAGCTTCTGAGATAAAATCAGATCTTTCTTTGTCTAATTTCTGACTGTGTCCTGTAAACTCCCACAGTCCATCTGCACGTGTGGCGTCTGTGCTCTTATCTCTCTCTGCATCTGTCCGTGTTCTAGTGAGGAACATTAATGACTTTGCTTGTGGATGAGAAGAGTGTAAGTAACCAAACACAGCCCGCAAAACTTTAATTTGATTTCCACCATCGCTTCTTTGACGTCAGATGATCCAGAGAGAGGCTATTTCCAGATAACGATCATGGAGGAATGCATGACCGAGATTTTACAGTTTGGTTGAAAGTTAGCTAAGCCATTGGTTGATTTCTCTGAATGAACCTCTTAGTGGATAAGTCGGGTTCAGAAGTCACAGGGCAGAGCACTTACACAGTTCAGGCGTCTGTCTATCTATACAGGGTCGTCCACTCTTACATAATCTTTGGCAATCCCCAGTGGTCATGTGGGGGATGGATCTCACATTATGTAATCCCCTAGGGATCATGTAGCGTGGTCAGTGTTTTGTACTTTGGAACAATCCACAGGTCATCTCTTCAGGCATTTAATAATTTGTCTCTTTGGAAGTGTGATTTTATCCATTTCTGAGCTATTTTTTTCATTCCATTGTAGTTGCAATTTAGGACTTTTATTGAACCGAAATGACATAGTCTTGATGCCCTGATAGTCAGCTTGGAGCAATTCAGTCATATCTAAAAGCCTTATATTAAGCCCATTAAATTCTTGGTATTAGATACTGTATTGTACAAGTTAATCAAGGTGAACTGACTCAGGACTACGGGCTAATGTTTTACATTGGTGTCATTGGAGGCAGTGCATATTTTGATTATTTTTTTTCTTTGCTTTAACAGAACTATACATACTAGCAGCTCTTTGAGGTTGGATTTTGGAATATGAGTGTTTTGAGCTAATGTTGCTATGCTCTCAATGACAATGCTAACATGCAGATTTTTGACAATAATTGGTACTATATTAAACCTGTAATTTGAGCTTTTTAAGTTGCAATTATTTGCTGATTAGCTCCAAACACAAAGTAAACCAGAGACTGATGGGTATGTCGTTCTCTGCGGGTCATTCCGGGTAATTGGTCATAAACCAAATTCTACGGAGCCACGATAAAAAGTCAGAGGATAAGTCTTTACCCTTTATTGTCTGGGAATCATTATTTGTACCAAATTTAGTGCAAGTCCATCCAATGCTTAATGATAAATGGATATTTTAGTCTGTACCAAAGAGGACTCACTGACTAACTGAAACACCTGGAATTTGAAAAGTTTCTCAAAGACAAACACATGTCATGCTTTGTTGATGTGAAAATGTTTGGGTTGAAGGGAAGAGCAAGTTGAAACTGATGAAACTGTGTTTTTAAACAAACAATCATGTTACATATGCAAAAACATACATTTACTAGCATATATTAAATTATTTTAATTGTTTAAACCATCAATTTTGTTATAGTTGACATGCTACAGTTTTCCACAAAAATATTTTTTTTACTTGGCCAAAGTTACAATCAAAGCTAAATCCACCTTGACATCAACATGTTGATTGTTGATCTTTTTTCACTGTACTCAAATGAGTTTTTCATTTCATTTCATCGCAAAGCTGTGCACAATGCATTTACTCGCTCAGCCCCTCCTGGCTCTGCTCTCTTCCTCTCTCTCTCTCTCTCTCTCTCTCTCCATTTCACACACACACACACACACACACACACACACACCAACACACAACAACATACACACAATGATAACAGAGCCAGCTGGTCACTGTAGACACATTTAGAGACATTCTTATGCCAGATGTGAAGTGAAAGACTGCTGTCCACATGTGATCAGGTCATGTTAATACCAGAACAAGGCCAATGATTCTAGACCTTATTTTCCCTTCTTCCCTAGAGAAAGTAGCTGCTCAGGCCAAAGCTCTTGAAGTTATGACCAGATTATGTAGAAATTGGATAAAACACTTTTTATTGTCAAAATTACACCCATCATTTTGATTTTGACTTTATTTGAATCAAACATCAGTGACATTTGATGTTGACAGCTAGTATGGGAAAATCCATGGCAGATTATCAAACAACTGACAGTTCTGTAGGCTATATCAATAATAATATCAAGTTAAAGGAAAAGTTCGTTTTTTTCAACATGGACCTTATTTTCAGCATATGGTATGTAGATCTACTCACCCATAAAGGTTTGGAGTAACTTGGAGTCCTTCGAACATCTCCTTATATCAAGGCTGATAATATACGGCTCTGAACAGATTTGCACAGCAACCTACGATGACTAAGGAAGTCGAAAAGTCCGATTTTACAGCAAGGAGACAAAACATTGGCATCCGTGAAAGAGTTCTGGAGAACGCAGAGAGGAGAACATACGGAGGCTTACAGGATGTTGTGTGGGGAGGCTACAAACTATCTTTCTTCCCAGATATGAAAAGAGAATTGGCAAAAGTGCCCTTCACTTAGAAATTAAGTGGATCAAACCTGTTTAAAATGGTTGCTGGTGTGTGTTTTTTTTCTTTTGTGTTCTTTGGTCCTGTTTTACTTTGTATTTTTGGGAGATTGACTTTGATCACACATGAGACCGTCATAATTCATATGCAGAATAACTGAGTCATTATTTAGCTTCTTTTGCCATGCTTGCTTTTCACCATACCAACATTAAAACCTGTTTTAATGTTATGGCTGAGTGTTGTGGGAATGTGAGACACAAAATATTTCATAATACAAAATACAATTTTATGTTCTTGACCTTATGTGAATTTGTTAATGGTTGGAGGGAATCATAACCACAGTAATAATGAAGAAGTTAACACAGCAATAACAAGGGGGGAGTCCCCTCTCCTTTACAACAACATCAATTGTCCCACGGGAGCTGTGTGGTTGTTATGATCCCTCAAGGTCACACCACTCTTATCAGTGCACCAACTCTTCCGGGCCCTTTGTAACTATTTTCACCACAGCCAGATAAAATTCACTGTCAAACTCCGTCTGACTGAACTGATGTATTGCAGTTTGTGCTGTTGTTTTGCTGTCTTATTGCCAGGGCTTCCTGCCATTGTGACTAGACTACATGACTATCCTTCTTTTCATGCAAGCTCGCCGGCAGCAGTCAGTGGCCAGAGTAATTCAGGTTTTTGTGTGTGTCCGTTCGTATGCACATACATCTCTCCCATTTTCGTAAATGCAATATCTCAAGAATGCCTGGAGGGAATATCTCCAAATTTGGTACAAACATTCCCTTCGACTCATGGATGACCTGATTAGTAGTCAAAGTTGGAAGGTCAAGAACCACTGTGACCTCACAAAGCACATTTACCCGCATTATGTCCATAATGCCCCGAGTATATCCTTCCACACTGGACTTGGGTTTGACTTTGGTAGCCAAAGGTCAAAGGTCACTGTCACAGTGGCCTCTCAAAGCATGTGTATGTTTTGCGCTTCAGGGAATGTCTTTTAATTTGGTACAGACATTCAACTGGATTCAAAGATGAATATATTCGATTTTGGTGTCTGCTGGTCAAAGGTTAAGGTCACAGTGACCTCATGTTTCTTTGCTTTGTTTTGTGAAAGTGATACCTCAGAAACACCTCAATTCTTTCAGTTTTGGTTTACATGTTAGATGTTTCGATTAATTGAATAGATTTTATTGATCAAAGGTAAAGGTCACGGTGGCCTCACAAAACATGTTTTGGCCTCTTGAATGTGATATCTCAAGAT